ACAGCCTTCAGTATGGATTACACCTCAACATAAAGAAAACAAAAATCTTTACAACTGGACCAATAAGCAACATCATGATAAACGGAGAAAATATTGAAGTTCTCAAAGATTTCATTTTACATGCATCCACAATCAATGCCCGTGGAAGCAGCAGTCAAGAAATCAAGTGACGCATTCCATTAGGCAAATCTGCTGCAAAAGACCTCTTTAAAAGTGTTAAAAAGCAAAGATGTCACATTGAGGATTAAGGTGCACCTGACCCAAGCCATGGTATTTTCAATTGCTTCCTATGCATGCAGAAGCTGGATAATGAATAAGGAAGACCAAAGAACTGATGCCTTTCAGTTATGGTGTTGGTGAAGAATATTGAGTATACCATGGACTACTAGAGGAATGAACAAATCTGTCTTGGAAGAAGTACAGCCAGAATGCTCCTTAGAAGCAAGGATAGCAAGACTTCTTCTCACGTACTTTGGACATGTTATTAGGAGGGGCCAGTCCCTGGAGAAGGACATCATGCTTCATAAAGTACAGAGTCAACGAAAAAGAGGAAGACCCTCAATGAGATGGATTGATGCATTGGCTGCAACAATGGACTCAAACATAGCAATGATTATGAGGATGGTGCAGGACCAGGTAGTGTTTTGTTCTGTTGTACACAGTGTCACTATGAGTCGGAACTGACTCGACAGCACCTAACAACAACAACATACCACATTGAGAATACAATGTAAAATACTTACAAATAGACATTCTGATGGTTAGAACAGTGAAGTTATTTACACACCAGCACACAGCCATATAGAGTAGGATAGCATTAGTTTACCCCATCCAGTGCAGCATTTATGGAGCACCTATTACTTGGTAAAGTAGAGGGTCAGCTAAAGAGAGGGAAACCCTGAGTGAGATGGATTGACACCGTGGCTGCAACAGGGGGCTCAAACATAGCAAGGATTGTGAGGATGGCTCAGGACTGGGCAGTGTTTCATTCTGTTGTATATAAGGTCGGTATGGGTCGGAACCAATTCAGTGACACCTAGCAACAATAACAATCGTGTGCCAGGTACTGTGCTAGTCTTGAGGTTACATAGGTCAGGAATGTATTTCTTTCTGCTCTCCCCACTTGTGCCTCTCTATCCCTTGCTACTAGGAGCAACATTTTGCTAGGACAGGGCAGACCAAGGTAAACCAAGTGCAAAGCAACAGAAATGTGGGCAACTTCCCCAAAGGGTAGGCTGCTGGGTACCTTGAATGATCTCAATCTGTGCTGATCCTACCTGAAGGTGCCCAGTTTCTGCTATATTCACTCTATATTGGATTGGGGCTTGCCTGTTCTGTGAGGTTATTTCCTTCTCCCACCCCCATCTTTCTCCTCTCCCCCAGATCTCCCCTGCTTTGATAGAATATAGAGTCTTCGAGACCAGAAATTCTTAAAGATATATGTCCCCTCTTTGCATCTCAACTGATTTCTCTGAATGTTTCTGTATTAGGTTCCTAGGATTGCCATAACAAGTTATCCTAAACTAGGTGGCTTAAAACAACATAAATTTGTTCTCTCACAGTTCTTCTGGAGTCCAGAAGTGCAAAATGAAGGTGTCAGCAGAGCTGGTTCCTTCTGGAGGCTCTGAGGGAGAAACTGCCCCAACCCTCTCTCCTAAGCTTCTTGGGGCTACCTGAAATCCTTGGCTTTCCTTAGTTTGTAGACGCCATTATTCCAATCTCTACCTCCATTTTCACATGACCTTCTTCTCTGTGTCTCTTTGTGTCCTCTCCTCTTCTTATGAGGATGCTAGTAATTCAGTTTGGCGACTACCCCAAATCCAGGATGATTTCATTTTGAGATCTTCAATTACATCTCAAATGAAGTCACATTCTGAGTTTCCAAGTGGACATAAGTTGCATGGAGACACAATTCAATCCACTACAGATTCTTTCTCCCACATCTTGGCTTTGGATGAATGGAAAAGCTAGGAAGATTTTACATTGCTCAACATCCCCTAACAGTTATTACAAAGGACTAGATTCCTGGATCCCACTCCAGCCTTCCACATTACAATCCCCGGAGGTGGAAACTGGGTCTGAATTTTTAAAGAACACTCAGGCAATTCTTATAAGCAATGAAGTTTGAGAACCACTGGCTATAACTTCTATATTCCAAGCTGTTTTCCACTGAGGAAAGGCTCTGGAATTACCGTAGGATATAATAGTGGCTCTTGGGCTGGTGTTGGGCTTGTGGAGGGGAAGTTAAGTACATAGACACAGAATGGTGTGTGGAGAAGGGCTTGAGAAAGAAATTTAAACGATGCTTGTAGGAGGGATATTTCCTATCTATCATCCTACTTATAGATGCTGGAGAAGAGAAAATATTAAAAAGGGGCTATTTTCCATGCAGCACAGTAATGATTTTGGAAATCATTAAGAATGTGTCAGATTAACTTTGTTGTAAGTTGTATTTAATTAGAACAATAGCTTGAAGCACGTATATTTATTCTTCACAGTTTGTGGTTTGTATATTAGTTATCTACTTGACACCTTAAAATAATGAGAAGAAATATTGATTATTAAATTTTGTGTTACCTACAAGCCGTCTCACATCAGTAATTGTATTTATCAGTTCTCAGATGGAGTATTTTAAAAAGAGATAAGAATTTGTGAGTTTATCTACTCTTTCTCTGAATTGCCTTACTTTAATATTGATTTAAATCTATACTAAATACTTTTCTGAACTTACAATCTGATTATTTCTGAATAAAGCAGGTAGAATGCATTTAAAGAGGTATTACTATCATTTTTGGTAATTAAATATATTCTAAAATAGAATGCAAATAATGGGTTTTTATTCCATGGGCAAGCTTGATAGTTATTATTTAAATGGTATATTGTTTATCCACATAACTAATTATAAACTTTATCTGCAGTATTGTTCTCACTTTAATATTTAAACTGTTGAGAGCAAGCATTTAATTACCTGTGACTAGTTTTCGGGAGCTGTAAGTGGGCACTGGTAAAATCTGTGCCTATGACAAGGTCAGAAACACAACCAATTCTTACAAACACCTTTAAGTCACTGCTTTGGCAGATAGGAGGCCCTTAATAAAAGGGAGGTATTCTATTGCTATAAAACACTTAGGTGAACTTCCTCCAATTTTAATTAGTATGATTTTCAGTGGATGCCTTGGGTATTTCTTGGTTTTTCTAATGACTTCTACTTGACCAAACACAATCCTTTGAGTAACAAAACAAAGTGATGAATAAATACCCAGACACAGATGAAAAGATAGACAGATAGACTTGGAATAACTACGTCCTTCATACATTTGTAGGTGACCTGCATTTTAACATTTGAAATCCCATGGTAAGCTAGACATTTGCAACTGTAAGGACTGAATCAATAGCTCTGCCTGTGCTTCTGTACTGTGCTGTCATTGAGTGTTACCCTTTATTGTGGATGCAGCTTAGTGGTTTAATGCCAACTGTTCACTAGTAATTTCTTAGCATGAAGCCATTACAGGCTAATAGCACATTTCGGAGTTCCTGCACACTTTGAAAATATAATACACTATCCAACAGAATCTGTCCTATAACACAAATGTTATCCATTATCGATGGCCAACATTGTATATAGCAAATTATTCAAGTTCATTGTATATGGAAAACTATTCCTATATTAGATTATATATTCATATATTAGATTATATGGGAAATTATTCAAGTTCATTGTATATGGAAAATTATTCAAGTTCATATATTAGATTATAAGCATTATAATCTGTTTCACTGCTTACGTTAGCTCTGTGTGAATCCAGGGACCCCCTTAAACTCGAGGTTGCTTCTGGGTTTCCTTCCACTTCTCCTACAGCTGCCCTCGTTGTCTGAAGAAGCACAAGACACAGGGCACAATCTCCACCATGGAATGTGATCTAAAGCAGTAGTTCAGGAAAAAATAGTTCTGAAATATCTATCTTAAAGATCTCTGAAAACTACCTGATTTGGATGGAGAAGCTTTCTTAAACTTCTGTGTTATAATCTTCAGGAGAAACTTAGAGCCCTCTAAGTGGAGTGCAATCCTAGGCCTGCATATGACATCGAATCTGACTTCTCCTCAAATAGTAACTCGGCTGATAGATCAAATTGTGATAAACCCACATTACAATAAACGAAGAAAGGACAGTGACATCGCCCTGATGCACCTTGAATTGAAAGTGAATTACACAGGTAAAAGAAACCACTTCTCGTTGCCTAATCTGTTCAAATTAATTTAAAATTTAGATTTGAAATATAATCAGTATCAATTCATTAATAACCCATAAAAGTTGGATAATTACTTACGAAAATAACTGAATCTTAATAGTTTAAATAAAATTTGGGAATGGAGAGAAACATATTCAATGACCTACAGCAAGGTGTTGAAATCCAACTTTCTACAAGTTAACTAGTAGAATAAAACTCACAGAGCCCTCTATAAGCCCTCTTTAAGGAGCACCTCAGAGAAAATAGGTCATGTTGTCATGCACATCCTCTCTACTTCTGAGGTAAAAGAATGTCAATCCATCTGCCACCAAAGCTAGAGTCAGACATAAACCAGGAGAAGAGCATACGTGCTAAGAGTAAAGTGAGTAAGAATTAAATTATCCACAGAACAGTTTTTAAAGGAGATTTTATAATATTACTAGAGTAACAGATGGAGGACTTTCTCCAAATACTCGGATAATTTGCACAAAATCACCAGAGGAAGTGAACTTTATCCTGAAAGATTCTCTTCAACCCCAGACGTAACTCTGAAACCTTTCCCAATCCCAGTGAGAAGAAAGTGCTCCCATCTCTGTGCTCTCGTGGAATTAGGTCTGCATATATATCACAGTATTTGTCAAAGGCAGACTATTACTACGGCTAGTTGTTGAGCCCTGTCCTGAAGGGTAAACACTGTACCTTACTCCTCTTTTTGTCTGCGCTGGTTCTTATATGTAAGGGATGCTTAATAAAGGTCAGGTGGCTTGTGAATTGCTGCAGAAGGGCTTTAAAAGTCAGTGACCAGTGTTAATGTTTCCTGAAGGGCCCTGTAAAACAGCTGCCTAAAAGCTTTTTTAATGTGGAGAAAATCTAAAGAGCCTCAGCACATTTGCCCAAGTTTCCTTTAATTTACCCTGAAAAATACTTCCCAAGATTTTCATAGAACTGGCACTATTTTCTGTAAAAAACCATGATTATTTAAATACCAAATATAAATGATTAATTCCCAGAAAATCAGGAGACTAAATAAACCAAAAAATAAACAAAACCAGTTGTCATCCATTCGATTCAGATGCATGTGTGTCAACCCCATGTATGTCAGAGTAGAACTGTGCTCCATAGGTTTTTCAATGACTGTGAACTTCTTTCAGTAGATCGTCAGGCCTTTCTTTTGAGGTGTCTCTGGGTGAACTTGACCCACCAACCTTTCAGTTACTATTTCAGTTAGTATCTGAACTGAGCCGAGAGCTTAATCATTTGTGCACCTAAGGACTCCTAGGGAACTAAATAACCCATAACTAAAAAACCATTGCTATCGAGTTGATTTCGACTCGTAGTGACCCTATAGGACAGAGTAGAACTGCCCCATAGGGTTTCCAATCAGCAGCTGGTGGATTCGAACTGCCTATCTTTTGGTTAGCAGCAGAGCTCTCTACCACTGTGCCACCAGGGCTCTAGCGAACTAAACAGAAGCCCCTAAAAGACCCCCGGTGGCACCTAATCCATTGTCAAAGAAGTGCTGTTCTGAAATGCGTGTTTCCCCTAAGATTGATGTGTGAAAACTGTTTAGACAGGAAAAAACAAAAATACAGAGATTTTTTTAAGTTAAATTTTAAAATGATTGATTTTTAAGACTTATTAGAAAGGCATATGTGTCTGTTTATGTTGCTTTTTGTTTGTTCTATTTTTCAGATTATATACAACCTATTTGTTTACCAGAAGAAAACCAAGTTTTTGCTCCAGGAATGAATTGTTCTATTGCTGGCTGGGGGACACTTGTTTATCAAGGTAAATTATCAGACTCAAAAAAAAAAAAAAAAGCTTAGTAGTTACATTCTTTTATTATTATAGTTTTAAATTTTTTCTAGATTTTGTAGAGTGCATTAGAAGTCACTGGGTTATGAAAATGGCCAAGCACTCAAGTACTAACAGAAAAGGTTGGCAGTTCTAACCTACCCAGAGGTGCCTCAGAAGAAAGGCCTGGTATTCTGCTCCTAGAAGTTCACAGCCTTGTAAACCCTACGGAGCGCAGTTCTACTCTGCAACATGTGGCCTTGCCATGAGTTGGAATTGACTGGAAGGCAACTGGTTACTGGTTATAGAATGTACTATAAAACTATAATCCTTACTAGAGGGGAAGACAAGGGTCCCCCAAATTCAATATCTAATTTTAGTATTATAAATACTGTCTTAAAGAGAAAAGATACATCTATTAAAATGAATATAAGCAAAGGTTAGAAACACTTACTTTTGTAAAGCAACAAAGTTTCATGAAAAGCAAAATTCTTACCTGTTACATTTTCAAAAACTGTATTTATAAGATTTATAAATAAATATTTAAAATGTAAAGACCTCACACTCACATTCTCTAAAATGAGAAGAGAATCCCTCTTAGCTTAGCACACATGATTCTGCCTCCTGGCAGGAAGAATCATATATGGCAAAAATTTTACACTTAGGACTATAAACTGACCTGCCACTGACCCACTAGCATTAATTAATAGCATGATTTCCAGACAGAAAACCACACGCAAAAAAAAGAAGAAAGCAGCTGCCTTCGAGTCCGTTCTGACTCATGATGACCCGATGGAGCACAGAGTAGAACTTCTCCATAGGGTTTTCAAGGCTGTGACCTTTTGGAAGCAGAATGCCAGAAGACTTGTCCTCTGCGGCATGTCTGGGTGGGTTCAAACCGTACACCTTTCAGTTAGCAACCGAGCACTCAACTGTTTGCACCATCCAGGGACTCCATACAGAGAATAGATACATAGTAAAAGAAACAACGATTTAAAAAAATAGATTAAAAAAATCTAGTACTACTTACTTTGCTGTAAATATGATCACAAGGCTCACCTGCTAAGGAATAGGAAATACTCCACCAGACAGAGTTTTGGCCACTCAGTAATAGTTAAGCAAAAAGGAAAGGCACTGCAGTCCAGTAGGAGGACCTGGCCTTTGTATTCACAACAACATAGGCACGGTGCTTTAAAATCCTCATTGTATTTAAAGTGAAATTGCATGACACCTTGTGGAGGGATGCAGATCTCAAAAGCAAAGCGCTTACAACTAAATATCCTGATTTGTGATGAGAAAAAGAGTCAAGTTCTAAGTCAAAATCTTGCCCGATGATTCAGACAAAGGTTCTTTTCTGCAATGACATTATACTGCCGAAAACACATCATACTTGCTGCTCATGAAGTGTACTGAAGTCAAAGACTGTATGCGCTTTTATTTCCTCCACCTGAAAAATGTCATGATCTATTAAATTTGAAATTTAGAGAGAAAAACAATTTTAGATAGAGATTTGCTGTATCAGACTTCAAACTAAAATACATTTTATGATCACAACATAGACTCTTCAAAAACAAATCATCCACTAACAAAATTTAAGACTCTTTATTCCATAGGAAATGGGTATTTTTTTTGTTTTTTTTACAACTGAGTCAGCTTGGCTTACATTTACTTATTGTTACTAAAGATATATTTAATTGACTTAAGAAAGTCTCTAGGGGTAGTATGGTGCCAGGAAAAATAACTGTATCTGAGGTCAGTTTCATTTAGGAATAAACTACCAGATCATGTTTAAATACTTCATGGGTAATGGCAATTTTAATGAATTTTATGAACTTTGCCCTCTGATTTCTGTCTACTTAATACAATAATATTCAAGCTCCTCTCTTTTGAGTATGTTACACTAATTAATTTATCTAAGAAAACCATTACTATATTGTTGGTTAGGAAGAGATGAGGTGGTATATTACTGTTGTTGTTAACTGCTATCAAGTGGGACCTGAATCATGGTGACCCCATGCACACCACTATGGGACCATTGTCATTCAGAGGGTTTTCACTGGCTGAGTTTGGAAGTAGATCACCAGACCTTTCTTCCTAGTCCCTCTGTTCAGCATCATAACAACACACAAGCTTCCACTGGCAGATAAGTGGTGGCTTCATTTGACGTCTATTGACAGGAATAGATACTGGGGTCTCTTGCATGGAAAGCAAGAATTCTACCACTGAATCACCGTTGCCCTTGAGGTGATATTCATTAAATTAAAGCAATTAGTGAACTTAAAATAACTTTACTGAAATTGTTTATGCATGTTTGTGTGTGGGTGTTTGTATGTATTCTAAATTGCCCCCTTGGTAACTCATGCTGACAAATATTAAATATAAGGACATTGCTCACATTTTCCTGTACCAAAAAGTTTTATCATCTACCTAACCTTATTTTTTAGTCATCAAAAATGGCTTCGATTTTATTATAAAACTGATGTCCACCAGCCCGTCTATGATCCTCACAGGATGACAGTAAGATGCTGACTTTCCTCCTCCATCTCAACCTCTCCAATTCACTTTCTTAGCTAACAGTTCATTGTCAAACTGTAGAAGTCATCCAGTTCTGGGCTGATCGGGCTGCTGGCACTGGTTGGCAAAAGTCATTTGTGTATATATCCTCCCAACTGGTCTTCAGTATCATACTGGTACCTTGAAATTGGCCATGGCCACAGTGTTTACACCATGCAATTTGACAGCCCCTGAAGAGCCAGTTGTTAAACATTTACCAATACAGCTCTGAGTCATATACTGCTTTGCACCTCTACACACACGCACACATATACACACACACTTGCTTGTTTCCTCAGTTCTTTTAGGGCATAGATTCAACTTGGAAATAAGGTCGGAGGCCTTTTTGCAACAACATTGGCCATCATATGGACTACCTTATCCTCAGCTCTCTGCCTCTCTCGAGGAACCGAATAGAGGTGCTAATTATTGGAAAGTGCTTATCAAGTACCTTTTCCAGGGCACTAATCACTGGCTTCTTTTATATCCCTTCTGGGATTAGTATTTCAGAAAACAGACTCATGCTTTCAGTGGATGAATCATCTTATAAGCAGCGTGGAAGTACATTCTGCTACAAAAACACCTCCTTTCTCTTCTCTGCAGATGTGGATGACAAGCTCATTAGCTTTAGACCAGGGCACAGTTCATCTGAGCTTTGTCTTCCGCTCAGTGTGCACCTGCTCACTTACACAGCACTACAAAGAAGCTGAATGCCATTCTAGGGGAGACAGCACCTCCTCAGGTGCCAAATGAAAAGCGCCTCTGAATTTCTGAGCCATTGCTAATTTCCATGAATGAAACTCTTTGTGTTGGTGATTTTTTTTTTCCATGCGCAATCCTGTAACTGTTTAAAATTACTGGAAATACCTGAAAACCATCTAGTCCCATCCACCATTCCTGCTAGCCCTTGGGGAAGAAAGAAATACTTTAGTATTATCCATTTGGCAAAAATCCACAGATGGGATTTATTATGTGTTTTAAAGCAGAAAGTGTAGTATTTAGTTCTATTCTACGTATACACAGTACTCGGTAATGAGAGTGAAATGCTGGAATAAATAAGACTGATGGTGGTTCATTCAGGATACATGTTGATCACTTCTGACTGGTTGGTTGCATTATCCGTTTTCAACAGGTTCCACTGCAGACATATTGCAAGAAGCTGTTGTTCCTCTTCTATCAAATGACAAATGCCAACAACAAATGCCAGAATATAACATTACAGAAAATATGGTATGTGCAGGCTACCAAGAAGGCGGAACTGATAGCTGTCAGGTAAATATATAAAAGCGCTCACCCTACGTTTCTAGAAAGTGTTGCTATGCAACAATTTCATTACTTAACAATAATTTGGGAGCAAAGAAATCATCAAAGTCCCATAAATTTCACCTATTTTTTTAAACATATATTTGAGAGAGAGACAGAGAAAACTTGACAACTATGACGTTTTGCTTGTATTCATGGCCTATTAGCTTAGTCCTCTGAGTGGATCTGAGCATTAGAAACAAAACTAGTGTGTTTAAGAACAAGGGTTACAAATCAGATGTCCTTAGGAACTAGGCGTAAAATGTAAACGTGAATGTGGGAGGCAGACTAGTAAAATCAGGAGTGGTGGGCCTGGGGTAGACCCAGAGATGGCACACCTTAGCTAAAAGAATTTACTTTCAAACATTTTCAATACTAAGCAAAATTTTAAAAACTGATTTAAAAAAATAGATTTGCGAGCCAGTTTGGTTCTGGGTCTCTAATTTTCAACCCTGGGTTAGTATCCAGCGTCCTGACGTAATATCTAGATGAAAAACAACCTGAACAGAACCAGCTGACGACAGACCGCTCGCACAGGAGTGAATGAATAACTTACAGAAGAGCTCGGCATGACCCTAGCTCTGGAACTCCTATACTAAAATTTTCATGTTGTCTTTTACATTTTATTTCAAAGGTGAAATGACATGAACTCACGGCAGTGGTAATTTCAATACCACAGTAAATTTTGTGTCAATAGCGTTTGATCTGTATTACCCTCAGAGAAAAGTCTTACTCACAAACTACCCTCATTTAAGACAAAAACATCTTACCACCTGGAAATAATTTAGACAACTGTTAGCTCCTTAAGGAAACCCTGGTGGTGTAGTGGTTAAGAGCTATGGCTGCTAACCGAAAGGTTGGCAGTTTGAATCCACCAGCCCCTCCTTGGAAAGCCTATAGGGCAGTTCAGAATTGACTCAACGGCAATGGGTTTGGTTTTTGGTTTTTTTTAAGCTGCTTAAATTCCATATACATTCCAAAACTATAAAGTTAATTCTGTTAGATTTTAGCATCATCATTAATTCTTAGACGCAGCATGGAGTAGTTATTTAAAATCATGGATTCTGTGTTCAGACTAGTCTTGTTTTCTTCTTGTTTTAACACTTATTGTCGGTGAGACTTTGGACAAGTGGCTTAGATTTTACCGGGAGGTTTAAATGAGGTGATATGTGAAAGGCATAATGTATGCTCCCTGGGACAATGTAAGCTCTGAAAAATATTACAGTTTTTATTGTAAAACTTAGTAAATAAATTTTTTGGCAAGTACTGTGTATTTTAAAATTAATAGAACATTAACACATTGAAGTCCAGTGGATTCAATTAAACCTGAAAGCATTACTGAACAAATGAATAATTTACAGATATGGAAGTAGCAGTTTCCACCATGGGAAAATGGTTTCATTTTTATTTAAGTATAAACAACTCATTACACATATTAACACATATTAGCATATTCATGTCATAATAATTTGATTTGACATATGACTTTTAACAAGTGCTTATACAGAAAAATCTGTATATGTATCCACTAGCTAAATCAATGCCTCAGGTCATGCTAAACTTTCAGCTTAGTTTTACCTTTATTCTGCTTTGATGAACACTTGCAAATTCAAGACAAATGGGATAGTTTTTTCTTGCTTAACATTTATCTCTGTATCTTATACTTCTCTTTTAAAATGAAAAGTGTGATAAAGGTAAGATGCATTGCCACTTAGAGATTATCGAATTATCGTGCAAGAGGGAAATCAACTGTACAACTTCAGTTACACTTAATAGGGATTGTGTGGTAGATACCTTGCACACTAGGCAGAATATATGACTGCTGATACTATTGATGTTCAGGTTACATTAAGCCAATAACTCATACCAGAGCCTTGAAATCTTATTTTGGCTCTGATTTCTACAGAGTTTAAGTATGTTATTCATTAGCAAGTAAGAAAGCTCCTATACAGGACAATACCTGTGCAGTATAATTTTATCACAACTGAATAATCAGTACCCTAGATGGTCACATGATTTGCTTTGTTCAGCCTTAATACTGTGTTATAGAAGAGGTTTACCTGATGAAATAAGAATGCATTGGTTAAAATTATAAACCATTATACCAGCGGCTCTTGAAGCATGACCCCAGTCCAGCAGATCAGCATCACCTGGGAACTTGATACAAATGCAGATTCTCAGGTTCCACCTCAGACCAACTGAAGCAGAAAATCTGGAGGTGGAACCCAGCAATGTGTGTTTTAGCACACCCTCTAGGTGATTCTAAGTGGCTTGAGAACCACTGTTTTAAATAAAAATGTTTATCAGTCGTTACCCTCAGATAAAGAAGGTTTGAATGTTATTATTATTTACAAATATAACATCTAAGGAGAAATACAAATTTAGGTTAATAATGTATGTTTTTGGTATTCATTTATATATTTGAAGTACTTACACATCTCTGGGAGCCCTGATGGCGCAGTGGTTAAGAGCTCAGCTGCTAACTAAAAGGTCGGCAGTTCCAATCCACCAGCCGCTCCTTGGAAACCCTATGGGACAGTTCTACTCTGTCCTATAGGGTCGCTATTAGTTGAAATCGACTTAGCGGCAACGAGTTCAGGTTTTTTTGGTACACATCTCTGAGGTTGTGCGAAAAGGAAATATCTACATTGATCAAATGGGAAAATTGAGGCAAAGAAAAGTTACATAACTTATCTGAAATGGTGCAGTTGGGTGATAGGAAGTGATTGAACCACACCTAGGTCTCCCAACCAGATAGACTACCCAGTAGTTAGGCAATAAGCCCTCTGTAGACTCCTTTGAGTAACTACAACAGACCCGGTATGTCCTGGTAAGTTAAAATACTTCATGTAATCAATATCTATATTCTCTTGCCTATAAAAAAAATTAAAATATGTTAGAAAACCAAATGACTTATTTTAACACTAACATACCAATGATCATGAAGATGGCACAGGGCTGGACAGTGTTTCATTCCGCTACACATACGGTCGCCATGAGTTAAAGCTGACTCAACAGCAACTAACAAGAAACACTTAAGGGTTATTTTTAATAATTCCTGAGTCACATGTAACATTTAAGCCTGTAACTATTCTTACCTTTTTTGATATCATTCCACAAATATTTCTGAATCTGTCATATGGGCTAGAAGTCCCTGGGCGGTACAAACAGTTAACACGCTAGGCCACAACTAAAAGATTCAAGGTTCAAGTCCACCCAGAGTTGCCTCAGAAAAAGCCTGCTGATCTACTTCTGAAAAATCAGCCATTGAAAACCCTATGGAGCACAGTTCTATTCTGACACATGTGGGGTCATCATGAGTTGGAATCGACTGGAAGGCAACTGGTTGTTTTTGTTTTGTTTTTTTTCATTAACATGGGTTAAGGGTTTAGGATGCAGAGATACATCACAGTCCCTACCTTCAAATATACCATGGACTGCCAGAAGAATGAACAAACCTGTCCTGGAAGAAGTACAGTCAGAATGCTCCTTAGAAACAAGGATGGTGAGACTTTGTCTCGCTTACTTTGGACATGTTATCAGGAGGGACCAATTCCTGGAGAAACACATCATGCTTCATAGAGGGTCCATCAAAAAAGTGAAAAACTCTCAACGAGATGTACTGATATGATGGCTGCAACAAAGGGCTCAGGCATAACAGCGATTGCGAGGATAGCGCAGGACCAGGCAGTGTTTCGTTCTGTTGTACGTAGGGTCGCTATGAGTCGGAACAGACTTGACAGCACCTAACAACTTTCAAGTAGCTTAAATACATTCATCTCATGTAGAATAGAGGTAAACTGTGGTTGTTCATGCTATTTATACTCCTCTTCATCCCAGAGAAAAAAGGTGCTTTTATAGACCACATTTCTTTTCCTTAAGCATAGGGCCCCAAAATAATAATGAATCAGGCAAAAAAATCTCTGAGAATATTTTCATACATGAAGCTTGGGGTGAAATATTCTATTGTACCAGAGATTTTAAAGAAAGTACGTATATTAAAAAAACAAAAACCATTTGCCATCGAATTTGACTCATGGTGACCCCATCTGTGTCAGAGTAGAACTGTGTTCCATAGGGTTTTCAATGGCTGTTAAACATTTCAGAAGTACATCACCAGGCCTTTGTGCTACCATGGCAAATTTAAAGAAGGCTTTAAATTCCTCATAAATATAAAAAAGAACAGATTAATTCTAAAAATGCATAATCAGCATGGGAAAAATACTGTCTTTCTATGATTAAATAATACTTTGCATTATGTTTATTTACATTATACAGGACTCCTCATGTACAAATAAAATACATGTATTGACTCCACTAGGACCCGCTATATTTAATATTTACCAAAATTAAAAACATTTCTTCATCAATTGAAATCTCAGACGAAAATATATGTGTTCCCATCACTAGAAATTTCCTCATAGTCTTGCCTATTTCAGTTCAAATATTAAGTTTTTTATATGATTGTGTGTGTCTAATGTTGAAAAGTTAATGCTACTCAAGAAAACTAAAATCACCTTTACATGTGATAAAGAGCATAATATGGGATAATTTATTTTTTTCACAAAGCTCTCAATGAGACTTAGAGCTTATCTACTTTAAGAAAGCAATTGGCTTTTAATGTGTGTGTTAGAGAATTTTGTAGTAGCCATCAAAATGCCATAATTAAAGTGAGAAAACTCTTGCTATAAAAGTGCATAGTAAAAAAATTAAACATAAACGTGTTTAGCTGTCATCGTTTCTCTGTGTCCTTCCCGCGGAACAAAGGGTTCTCATTCTTGACCTCGAGCAACGCTGTGAACGTAAACAAAATGACTTGCAATTAAATCGTATTTGTGAATCGTTAGTTTTTAGCCGATTTGCTAAAAACACGTATATACATATATCAACTGACCGCACATCTACAATTTTCTTTTCCAACTCACTCTTAAGGGGGATTCGGGAGGACCGTTAATGTGCCAAGAAAACGACAGATGGTTCCTTGCTGGAGTGACGTCATTCGGATACCAGTGTGCGCGGCCTAATCGTCCAGGGGTGTATGTCCGGGTCTCCGAGTTCGCAGAATGGATACAGAGTTTTCTACATTAGTTTTCTAAACCGAACATTAAAGTCAGACAGTTTTCCCATTGTCCTCTAGGAAGCATGGAAACTGAGTTTTGTAAAAGAAAAGAAAAAATAAAGTTACTAAAAGCTTTTATTCTTACCTAAACACTAAAATGCTGTGGGGAAAACGAACAAATTAATCTCAGCAATATAGAGTAATTTAAAAATGCATTTGGATTTTATTGTGAAAGCTATTTTCACAGATAACATTTCTTGTTAGCCTTGTTTTTAAAAATCATTTTCTCTTATTCGAATGAATGTTATTTTAAACACACGTGTTCCTAGCACTAGAAATTACCTTATAGAGTTGCCTATTTCAACTGAAATGTTAAGTTTTCCAAATTTGGTTTTTTTCTTTTGGTCTAACATCAAAAATTTAATTCTACTCAAGAGGACTAAAATCAATTTTATGTGTGAGTTTTTAATTTTTAATTTTTCTAAATAGCATAATATGGAATAATTTGTCTTTTCCATAAAGCCTTTCATGATACTTGGAGGATATCTCCTTTAGTAAAATGATTGCCTTCCCATTGTCTAACTACATCATTTCAGATAAACATATGCTTAAGAAAGTTTGAGCAAAATTAGAAAAAGAAGTGAAATAAATTGTTTTTCTCACAGTCTTTTATTGTTTGAAATAAATTGCTATAAACTCTACTTCTGGCCTACCTTGCTATTATCAGAATCTTGAGTTTTTCTCTCCAAACATATTTCATTTCAAATTGAGTATATCCTGAATATCTTCCCCACTTATAAAAGATATTTATTCCAAACTCATGTCACAGAGTCTGGACTAAATTGACTGTACATTCTTCTCAAATGATCTAATTAAACAGTACGCAAACACAAGTCTAGCATTAAAATAAAAGGTAAATTAACTGATACTGTCATTCTTATTGGATTTTTTTTAACCTGGATTATGTTCACTGTCCATTTAGTTCAAGACAGAATTTTTAAGTCTGAAAACAAAATGAAACAAAATAAGACCCTCAGACACATCAAAGAAATGCAGCTAGTACAGATGTTTCTCTTGATTTACGTGGGTTACTGTGGACATTGCTAACATGCGAAAAACCTATTTAGACACAGCTGAATTGCCCATTAGAGGGTAAAAATGTGGAATAAATGAATTTGTCTCACTGATTTAATCTGTTGGATCATTTCCAGAGTAAGTGTAAACCTCAACTTAGCTTATCACACAGAATCTCTCAGTTCATTTAGGGAGACAAAATTCATGCATTTTTATTCATAATGCAAAAAATAAAAAAAACAAAACCCACATATACAACATCCTGCATGTGTGTCCATTTAGGCCAAAACAAGTGGAAGAGAGAGTAAAGAGTAAAGCAGTTGAAAGAGACTAATCAGTGTGGATCGGCCTTCAGGAAGAAACCAGACTTGAACTACACCTGGAAACCAAAAAAAAAAAAAAAACCAAACCAAAAAAAAAAAAAAACCAAACCCACTGCCATCGAGTCGATTCCAACTCATAGCGACCCTATAAGACAGAGTAGAACTGCCCCATAGGGTTTTCAAGGAGCACCTGGTGGATTTGAACTGCTGACCTTCTGGTTAGCAGCCGTAGTTGAATGATTATTATGGATGGATCAAAGCCAGCATTGGAGACCACCATGCAGGTTGGAGTGATTCTGAAGGTTCTGGGAGAGAAGACAATAGAAAATCACGGGCTGTCATACCAACAGACTTATTAGGGAATAGTCAGAGAAAGGGAAAAACATCATATTAAGAAGGAATGGCCAGATGATTAAGGACCACCAATGCTAGGTCAACAATTATGGAATTTATTCTTAGGGCAAAAATTGGCGTACCCAAACATACTATTATATATTTTGAGACCTTTCCAATGACCTGATCTTAACAGTTAGGAAGGATGGAGCAGCAGTTGTAGGCTATTTTTTTTTTTTTTTTTTTGCTTTCTGAAGATTGTTCCATATTTCACTTGCACTTCAAAAAAAAAAAATGTTCAAAAAAAAAGCATGTTCAAAAAAATATATTCTGAAAATACAAACACTCACAGTAAATAAACCATGTACTCCTTTTTATTTTTCAAAGGTTAACTAAAATTTTAAGAATACCTTGGTCAGCCTCATTACCATCTTCTGTAAGAGACAGATTCAGTATGCCATTTCTAGTCACTTCATGGATTTAGTAATTGATACCAGAAGAGTTGTTCAGGCCTGAATAAAGATAAAGGGCAAAACCAAGGCTCCTCCCCATTGCTTTGCTGCTTCTGCCAGGACTACTAGCTGTCCTACTCCTGGATGGCATGAACAAAGAAGAAAGCCCAGTCCCCACCGCCCCCCCCCCCACCAACTCCCATCAATCCCGACTAAAGGAAGAATTAAATGATGGCAGGTTGAGAGCACTGGTCTACCTTTCTGCCCAGAAGGATGGGTAGCCAAGAAGAGAAAGAGGAGTGCTACATCTAAGCTTAGAATGCAGCTTCCATTCTTTTAGTCTCTAAGCAGCTGAAAAGGGGTCAGTGCCCACGAATTTCTATTTTGCATTTTAGTTTTACTGAACAACTCTAGTTGTGAATTGGGTTCAGTGAAGACACTTTATTATCTAACTGAAAAGAACTGACAGAGAGAAGACAAGGTTTTAAACATTCTATAACCACAACTTCCATTCTTACCACACATTAAATGTGATTTGTTTTCATCTTCACATATTGAGGCAAATATATCTGTATTTTGTTCATTTAAGAGATTTAGACAACACCAACGATCATTCTTCAGAAACAAGAACTCTTTTATTGGGTTAAAAGGAGCACAGGGACATTTGAAGACCAGATAGTTACAACTCTCTCTTGAGAAGAAGGAATCACAAACATCGAAGAAACTAGAAGACAGAAACAAGCTTCAGTTTTCTCTCCCAGCCAAACTCTCAAACCCAATCACTGATCCCCTTCAACCCATTTTCACACTAATTCATGGGCTCTTTCCTTGCTGAAATGTCAGTTTGCTGTGATTACCTTCACACAGATGGTGACCACTCACCTGGTCCCACCTCTATGACTTCTATATATGCTCACAGAAGATAAACACAGCAAGGGTAACCTTAGACCAGCTCTGCAGCTATCTGCCTCCATGTTAATCCCAGACCCCAAACAACCATTGTTGGTTTATGGGTAAAGGAAGGACCACATTAATTCCAGAACCCTCAGAGAGCCACTGGTAGTTATACAAGCAACATGTGAAGACATACGATTTATATTGTGTATGCCACTTCTTTTGTTCTAAATTGAGTATATTTATTGTTTAGACAGTTATTAATAAGTTATTTTATTACAAAATCTGTTGAATTTTAAACTAAAAATAATTGTAAGGCACATGTCTTGCACAATTGAAATTAGACAATTCTTGCCTCTAAGTAAAATATTTGAGTAGATTTATACCACAGTTAATGAAATAGTTTCTTATTTCTGAAGGGATTTTCTAAACATTGACAAAAAGCAGAAAAACTGAAAGAAAACGAACCATTTATTAAAAAAAAAAAAACTTTCTTCTATGATAATAGTTTGTGAATATGGGAATTCAGATGACAACAGTGAGAAATTTGTTTAATCAAACAGCATGAATTGAAAAATGAAACACCATAAAAATAAATATTAGAACAGTCCATTTTTATCAAACACTTACACAAAGGTAAAATATTTTGCACACTGTAAACTTCAATACAATCTACATTACATTAGCTAGATTATAACTTATGAAAAGTGAAAGAAATAAAAATAACTGCTTTCAACACACATATTCCTGATGTGTTGTTAGCAATTTTAGCTGGTCCATTCCATTGACTTGAAGTCTCGGTGCATCCTTTTAGCAAAATAAGCACGTCTCACTCTTTTTTTTTTAGCACAGCACATTTTGTAAATGAAATAATAAACATATAAAAGTTATTTTAATATTTGCCTCAAGGGGGAGCTTACAGTTCATCTTGCAGATCCATTGATATTTCAAGCCATTCCAAGCTAATGTTCTGATGCCATTCCTTATACAAATCCAGAATTACAAAATTTTTTCTGGAGTCAAGTCAGTGACTTATTATACTTCCATGCTACTTTCCTTTCTGGTGCTCTTGGAAATCCACAATGTGGACTGGTTTGGGCTAGTTTTTGTTCTTCCTTTACTGAAAAACATAAGAAGGAGCAACTTCAGTATATGAGAGCTCATGTAAAAAGAGGCGTGTATTGGTCCAAATGGAGATATCTCAGACCCTTATGTATAATAGGGTCCTTCTCTTCTCACCAGCATATTTTCTTTTTCATTCCTACAAAAAATTCTACATTATTCTGGTGTATGAAGATGGTAAACAGTTCTTATGAAACGATGAAAAACACACAATGTATCTTTCTCTATTTGATCCTTCATAGTTTAGAGTTTAGACACACACACACACACACACACACACACACACAAATTTGTTCTGCCATATTATTCAAAATTTTCACTTTAATCACCAATACATCTTCATTTTCTTTGAGCAGTGATTTTTGAAATCTTGCTTTTGGTGTATTCTGCCACTAATGTATGCTGAACTTAATGCCAAATCATCAAAACAATCATTTTGTACTAAGTGTAAACTAATTTCCATCGAGTTGATTCCAACTCATGGCAACCTCAAGTGTGTCAGAGTAAAACTGTCCTCCACAGGGTTTTCAATGGCTGATTTTTCAGAAGTATGTCACCAGGTCTTTCTTCTGAGGTGCTTCTGGGTGGACTTGAACATCCAACCTTTCGGTTAGCAGAGAATATTAACCATTTGCAACACCCACGGACTCTGTAGTAGGTATAAGGACCTGCCTATTCACCTCCTTCCATCAGTTTTCCTGTCCTATAGTTGTTATTTGATCCCTGAAAGCTTAATTTTGCCTCCATCTCTGAAACCACTGTAGTTCAATAGAATATTCAGGCCTTGGGAACTTAGGAGTGTCTGAGGAGCTCTAGGAGCCTTGGTGGTCTAGTGGTTAAGAGCTCGGCTGCTACCCAAAAGGTTGACAGTTTGAATCCACCAGCCACTCACTGGAAACCCTATGGGGGAGTGCTACTCTGTCCTATAGGGTCCCTATGAGTCTATGAGACTGAGTCAGAATCCACTCAGCAGCAATGAGTTTTTGGTTTTTTTTTTTTCTTTTTTTGGTTGAAGTCCTCTAGATCTTAGAGTCCACTCTTGCCAGGTTTAGACCCATATTTCCAGCCTTGCCTTGGAGCTGTGCTATCTTCTAAGCTCATTTCCATTAAATGGCCACGTCTCAGGCTCCTGCAGAAGTGCCCATAGCAGAGTTTACCCAAGTCATCCTCTAACACACTACCTGTGTCAAGATCTAGATTCCTTTGGTCTAGTTTCCCCAAGAATGATCCCTCTCATGGATCACTGATCACTGCCTATCTCTGTTTACTTTCTTTGTGCTTCCTTCCTCCTCTAACCTCCCCACTCCCTGCCTCTGCCTCACTTCCCTTGGCATGAATTCTTCCCAATCCCATCCTCTCCTGCCTACCAGACATTGCAGAACTCCTTCAAAGACAGGAAATGAACTCTTCTTAAACACGCCTGACCATTAGTTTTATAAAAGTATTTATTTCACTTCATTTTAACTGTGAATAAAAAATATACTAATATTATTTCTAATATATTAATATACTGCTGGAGCCCTAGTGGTGCAGTAGTTAAATGCACGGCTACTAACCAAAAGGTCAGCAGTCCGAATCCACCAGCTGCTCCTTGGAAACCCTATGGGGCAGTTCTGCTCTGTCCTATAGGGTCGCTACCAGTCGGAATCGACTCAATGGCAACAGATTTTGTTTTGTTAATATACTGTTACTAATAAAGTGGCATGCCCAAATTGTAAGTTTTGGAGATTTGAATCCAAATAAGTAGGTGCAGCACATTTGTAGTCTATGACATCATCCAACGTGAGTGGAAAAGAAGTCAAGCAAAGTTTATGAAAAGTACAAAGTTTTTAAGAACGGTGAAAAGAAAGTGGTTAATGTGGCTTTTGTGAAGAATTAGTATTTCATTTAAGAATTACCCCCAGTTACGGAAACATGAGTTATTATTTTGAACATGACATGGAATGACAGAAATCATCATGTGTACCAGATTGGAATTTAAACTTTCTGCAAGGCACTCAGATGATAATGGACTTGAGTCTTTGCTGAAGCTTCTCCTTGCTTTCCTGGAAGAAAGGAAAAGGGTAGGATCTAAGAACGAATGAATTAAGTACTACACTAATTCTGGCATTGGGAGATGTTCTATTGTGGTTTATTTTCTCCTCTGGGAATTTCCAACCAGTGAAAATTCCACAGACCTTAAAGTTGTAAAAAACCTGAAAAGCCTTTGAATGAATTGAATCTCCACAATAATACACTATTTGGAAGAATGAATACACACTTTGGAGATAACTCAGTTACTTGGCATTGTAGTCATTTTTATTTTTAAAATGTGATTGTATAAATTATGTTTTTTTAAATTATTTTTTCAACCTCATTTGTTATTTACATGTCTTCCTTAACAGTTTGGCTGGGATAAGAGGGTAGTACGTCAGATTCTTCCTCAATTTCACTGCTTTTTACAGTGATAATTCACCCTTCCACATACAGTCTTAGGGATCAAAGTATGAAGCTGGATTTTTTACTATTGTTTTTATTCTGAACAAAATATGAAAAATAAATATTAACTCAATATACACTGGAAAGCCAAGATGCCATAAGCTACATAATTAATTTGCAGGCTTTATTTATCATCATTCAAAATGTTTTAATTAAATAGCCAGTAAACTATGCTTTCAATCCTTTTAAAAATTTATGTAGAGCATTTAGAACTTCAATCCCCACCCCCATCCCGGGGCTGTTGTTACTTAGTAGGTTCTTTAGGGTTTATTTCAGGAAATGAAGAAGATGAAGTAAAGGGAAAAAAAGGAAAATGACGTTATTTGTAGGTCCTTCCCTGATGGAGACATTCCCATGATCAATTCTTATTAAAACATGCTGACAAAGATGTATAGTTTATTTAGGCCAAACTGCTTTTATTTAAACCCATAGTGATGGGGTTCCTTTTTCCATTGATATATATTTACATTTCATATATTAATTTTCTTTGACAATTAGACACTCGGAGAAAAATATTACGTCTCTAACTCAAGGGTATGGATAAGCAGATATAAAGGTCAGAATATTTCTAAGAAATCTGGCTATTAAAATACACATGTTACTTCAAGGTACTTGTCCAAAAGTAACCGATTTTTTTTTTAGCATTGTATTTTACTTCCTCAACTTGAAAGATCCTTTTGAAATAAAATAAAAGCCTACGCCTTGAAATTTTGAAAAGGGACTACAACATACACCTATAAAAATCAAGACGTCCATATAATTTGATTCAAGAGCAAAAGGTTTAGCATTAATAATTATACTTAATAAACAAGAGACCTCATATATTACAGTGGCATAAATTGTAAGCTTACCAGCATTCAAATTTGAGATCCACCACATACACTAAGCTGTGGAACCCATGGAGAATTGTTTAACTCATCTAATCCACCATGTTAGCAACTGAAAAGTAGAAACAGAAGTGTACCTACTTCATATGACTTGTGAGGATTAAATGCAGTAATGCATGAATCCTATCATTGAATTATATCTTACTGGATTGTATATACTGGATCGTACCGGCAAATATGGAAATCAGAATTTACTTAAGGCAAATGAAGGATATAATTAATTTTATACTAACATCGTTAAATGAGTTCTGAAAACCTACTTAAAAATTTTCAACTTGTTTCTACATATGTGAATTATTTACCTTTTATGAAGCATCTGGAAACAGCAGGTTCCAAAAGCAACCAGTATCAATAAGAGCAGTGGTATTGTTGGTATAACAACATAAATCAGATTGGGAATTATTCCTACAAAAGAGAATGTTCTTAATTTACAAACATCATTGAAGCAGGATGTAACACCAAAGTTCTATACAAATTTTTCAAAATGGTAAAGTAAAATAGAATTACTATCAAAAATAGATTCCCAATAATTTTCTTCCCAAAATACTAAATAATGTAATAAAATAATATATTCATATTTTGGTGAAAATTAAAAACAAAATTATACTGCACTTGCTGCCACACTCCAATTCAGTAGTCATACTGCCAAAACTATCATTACATCTGCAATTCAGATATGGGCTAATTTTCATAATACAGTATTAATCTTATCTATCTCATTTCATCAATAATTCTTAATCACTACCTAGAGAAAAAAGCACTGCTTATTAAAAAGTAATAATCATTCAAATTATCTTTGATGTTTTTGGATAAATAATTATCCAAGTCAATAAGCTCAGTGCCTTGATGATATGTAAGAGATGAAACCAAGATAGATAAATATTAACTGATGATAAAGTCACAACCAGAGACATAAGACTCCAGAGGGACAAAGACTTGATGTTAATGAGATTCTAAAATAAATTATTTTTTAATCCTGTTTTATCACACCTGATAATGTTAGGTATCCTTAGTAAAATCAAGAACAACTGCCACAGTGAAGTCACATACAGCTTAAAAATGACTATATTAAGAATTTTTCAATGTGCTAAGAGGGAAAAATTCTTAATATACTGATTTAGTAATATCAAGCATATTTACTAAATATTTACTAAAATCAGGCACTTGAAAAAGTGAAAAATAATGAGGCTTAAGACCATGTTCACAAATGAAAAGCAACTTAAAAAACGTGCACATTGCTAGCAAATTGAAAGCCATCATCATTATTAATCTACATAATTCTGGCCAAGTGGACTAGACTTGGATCCTATTATCCATCAAACTGCACACCACTTCTTGTGTTAATAGAAGAAGACATAGTAACTGAGGTCCAGTGGTGGAGTATTTTGGGGATAATTTGCTATCCTTCCACCCACTCTTTCGAGTCTCCAGCAGATGACTTCAAGCATTTTAAGGATTCAGGAAATATTTCCTTTTCCTTCAAAATCCCATTAAAACCAAAAACACTAAACTTGTTGCTGTCGAGTCGAGTCGATTTCTACTTATAGGGACCCTATAGGACAGAGTAGAACTGCCACATAGGGTTTCCCAGGAGTGGCTGGTAGATTCAAGCTGCCAACCTTTTGGTTTGCAACCAAATGCTTAACCACTGTGCCACCAGGGCCACCTCAAAATCCCATTATGATCCGTTATATAAAATAGGAAAGAAAAAGAGAAAGTATGTTCAATTTTTTCATAGGTTTTGGATTACCTGTGGATAGACTTTTAAACTTAGAGTCACAAAGCAACTTGGATAAATAAAAGTTTCTGTCCAATTGGCAAGCTGAGAAGAGTCTGTAACTGATAATGAGTGCCATTTCTGACTAATTTACAATTGGCATTAAAAAAAACCCGGTGCCGTCAAGTGATTCCAACTCATAGCGACCCAAAAGGACAGAGTAGAACTGCCCCATAGGGTTTCAAAGGAGCAGCTGGTGGATTCAAACTTCTGACCTTTTGGTTAGCAACCAAACACTTATTCACTGCGTCACCAGAGCATTCAGCAATCAGCACTGGGGATTGTATTGTGTTTCGTACGCAGGCAGTGGTAATGAAGCCAGCTCAGACTGGCTCTTGAGCTCATTTCACGTATCTCTTCCCAACCTGCTGTTCACTTTGGTAGCTTGAAATCAGCCAAACCAAAATCAAACCCACTGCCGTGGAGTCAACTCCAACTCATAGCGACCCTATAGAACAGGGCAGAATTGCCCCATAGGGTTTCCAAGTTGCAGCTGGTGGATTCAAACTGCCAACCTTTCGGTTAGCAGCTGAGTTCTTAACCACTGTGCCACCAGGGCTCCTGAAATCAGCCAGAGTGGTAGTATTTACATCAAGGGAATGGGCAAAGGCTACATATGAGGGCTCTATACTTTATTTCTCTCCCCTCTACCCCCAGTCTCTAAACATTTACCAGCACACCACTGTTTGCAGGCCAATGAAATGTGCCAATTTACATCATAATGACTACATGTTGTTGGAGCGCCTGTGGATCAGGCTTTAGTGTGGATTACTTGGTTTAGGACCAGATCCACTTGAGGAGAAACTCTGAAGAAAACAAAGTGGGTTCTTCTATTCAAAAACTAGTTTAGGATCATTTGCTTTAACCTACTTCCATAAAGGTGATGATCAGAAGTAAAACTCCACAGGCCCATATTTAGTGCAGCAGCTCCCCAAACAGCAGAAGTTTCACTGCAAACAACTTGAAACAAATTTTGAAAGTATAGTTTCAGTAATTGATGCAGGAGTTAAAGACACATGAGCTAATTACCTGCTTCAGTAACAACAATATTTTGATGGGTGTCTCCAGGTTGATTTGTAAAATAAGGCTTTTCTACAGGAGCGGTTGGATTAATTTCTGTAAATAATACAGTACAGGCATCATATATAATGACAAACAAGAGAAATGCAAGATTACATAAAATAAAATGTTATAAAACAATATAAACATCATGTTTTGATTTCCGAACAGTTTTCAGCTAAAACGTATACACTGAATTTAAATTTATATGAACTTATCTAACTATAAAGTCAACATTTAATTATCTTTGAATAAAAGATCCACTTGGTGAATTACCCCTAGGAAGCCAAAACTATGTTTTAGCAATCAATGGCAGGACTAGGTGCTTGACAGCCAGGGCCCTGCTACCAGCAATTATGACAAAGCAAGCACAAAGCTAGACAAAGAAAAGCAAGATTGGTGAGCACAGAAATGCCCTTCAAAGACAAACAAAGATGTTTTCTTTACTAATATTAGTGTAATATTTATGTTTCTGCTTGCAATAATAATCAACAGATGAGTGTATGTGGATTGCATCCGGAATTGATGATTCAAGCAACAAAATTCGGAATCACAAACACTGGCATCTTTAGATCTCCTTCCCAACAGTCTACTTCTTTAAAAATAATAATAAACTAAGACTTGCCAGTTGCTTCTTTTCCTGGTTTTATGAGATGAGATATCTTCCACTGGCACATACTTAAAGAATTGTTGAAGCTTCTTACCATGATCTGATACTGCTCTATCCCCCATCCCCTGGGTACTATCTGTTAAATTAATAGTTCAGTAAATGTAAATTGAACGAGTAAGAAAGAAATCCATAAATGTGTTTTCATTTGTTTCAAATGTATAATTCTGTTTACTTTTGTCAATAGATGGAAAAGAGAAAACACGTGCAGCGTCCTTAGAATATTAAAGCTTTGCTAATACAATGTTTATTGCTCTAAAATAGTATCATATTCTCCCATTCATTGGGCGTTTAATCATACACCATCCTGTAGTAACATTTATTATTTTGTCCATATATTTTACCGAGCCACCATTAAAAGCTTTCAGATTCAGTCTACACTACACTCACTCTTCTACAGAATTATATAATTTAGTCAATTCTATGCCTGTAGCTGCTCAACTGGCATTTGCTGAATAAATAATACAGATATTATGCAATTTGTCAACATAAAACTGGTTATTTTAAACATAATTTTAATGAAACTTAAATTAATTCAACTGCTGATTAAGTTGCAAAATTTAGAAACATAATTCTGTATATGCTATTTTTAATGTCTATGAACAAGAGTACATAATGCAATTTTAATAAATACAAAAATTAAAGTGAAAAGTATGTGGGGATATATGCCATTTAAACATGGCTGCACTATTGACAACTGCAGCCCCCACAGGCCTCTATGCTGTATACGACATGTTGGAGACTTGTCAGCAATGAGGAAGAGATTAGGCACAACTTGTTTTCCCAAATCTATTGTCCTGTTACTGATTGACTTGTTTACCTGAATTCCTTCTCCCTTGCCCGAAACTTATTGTTACTCACCCAAAGCCTATTGTTCTGTTATTTGCTTCACTGCTTGCTGTATTGACTATAAAATAAACTCCTGGGACTGAAGCCGGGGTTCGGCTCCTCAGAGTGACCCTCCTGGCCCCACTTCTCTGTAAGAGTTGTGGCATTGGTTGTTGTCTCTGCCGCCCCGACAACCATCGCTGCTGCGACAGATGGTGCCCTGTGTGAGGGGCTGTGACAAAAGTATCCCCATAAAATGTCTCTGGATGACATTAGTAGACCCAAAGAATAGATACGCAATTCATGGGACTATAACAAAAAAGGGGGGAAAGTGAGAAAACTCAGAAGTGAATTATTCAGTTTCTTCATAGCTAGGTTAATTTTTTACCATTTTGGAGAACATAAGTTATGCTATCAGGTGGTGTGTGAATCGAATCAACAGCAACTGATTTTCATTCCTGCTAGGTGGCACAAATGGTTTGCGCTCAACTACTAACCTAAGGTTGGCAGTTCAAACCCAGCTGGCAGTACTGAGGAAGAAAGGCCTAGCAATCTGCTTCTGTTAAGATAACACCCAAGAAAACCCGTCTACTATGAGTTTCTAAACAGTCCTACTCTGTAACACATGGGGTCGGCATGAGTCAGAATTGACTCAATGGCAATGGGTTTAGGAACAAAAAAAAAGAGGCAGGGTTCAAATCATTCATTAGTCTGGTAAAGCCTGTGGATAAGGTCCAAAATAATTAGTGTTATAATTTGTGAATTTCAGTTATCCGCACTGCTTAGTCCTGTCCGTTCACCGCTAAAAGCCAAGCACCAACTACATAAACAAGGAATTTAACCAACCTGAAAGTCCTTTACAAAGCTGACACTAAACTTAAGAAAGGTTAACTAAACAGAAAATAAAGATGAAAAGACTAAAAGTTAAAATAAAGAATAAAAATTCTATGCATATTAAGAAGGTCAGTGGTTAAACGGTATATTTGCTTCAAGAACAAATACCTTAAAAAAAATCTCGTTCATAAAGTACAGATTATTTAAAGATATAGGCAGAATGTAGAAGATAAATAAAAATTAATTTTATGTTTTAAATGTTCTTCCTTGAGTAATATCAACCTAGATTACCTAACATGTAACAAGTAAAGAAGATTCATGGAATTCATGGAGTTCATTATCTTAAAGGGTAGCAAGTTTGAATGAAAAAAATAAAAGTAAGTAAAACAAATATATGAAGGATCATATAATCCGTCCAAGAGTTTTAAAGAAAGGAGAGTGCAATACTATATTAAGAACATTCTATAACAGAGTACATAGAGTGTCACAAATTTCAACTTTCTGAGAATTTCTACTTTGTTTTTCCAAGAAAAAAAATCAAGAGAAAGAGCATAAGTACAGATTTAGCTCCTCAAAGGCTTCCAAGAGTGTAATGATGGATTTAGCAACCAAGGCGGGGGTTAAAGAATAAACTTACCAGGGATGTAATATACTCAAGAGGAGGATAAATATAAGAGAAGGATAAATCTAATCCAAATAATCCCCTGTGTTTACAGCCTTATGAGAAAAAGACTCATGTAATTTCAAGAGAGTAATGGAAGCAGCAGTGCTTAATTCTAATTGCCTGCCATGAACACATATTATGAGATCAAGCAGACGGCCCTTTGGAAGAGTTAAAATGCCACTTCCAAACACAGAGAAGGCGAAAAACAGCAAAAAATCTCAAATCCCATGTATCTGATTTGGGTTTCTTAAATGATTAAAAAAAAAAAAAGTTTCCAGAGTTTTGATGAGTCTCTCTTTGGGTCAAATATTAATTCAGGTGAGCTGTCCTATTAAAAGTAATTCAAATTTACCACTTCAACAGGAAACTATGCTAGTGTAACTCAGGTCAATACAATCTTCCCATTTGCTGCATGTGGCAAGAAGTGGGAGACTTCAAACAAAAGCTAATTACCCATTGCCATTGAGTTGATTCCTAGTCATGGTGATCCCCTGTGTGACAGAGTAGGGTTTCCAATGGCTGTAACCTTACGGAAGTAGATCTCTAGACTTTCTTCTGAGGAATTGCTGGGTGGACTAGAACCGCCAGTTCTTTGGTTAGTAGCTGACTGTAAACCTGCACCATGAGAGAACTTAAAAGCTAACCAAGGAGGCGTGAAATGAGAATGAGGATCATAGGAAGAACATGTCACATGTCCCTACTTTTACTCACCATGTTGTAATGAGCTATGATCGCTCTGATTTCACTGAGGACCACATGCCAAGTATTATACCATGAAACGATAAGCTAACGTTCCAGGAGAAAGTTTCTTTATACCTTAAATTCACAGCATAATCATCTAAAGAGCTATTGCTTAGACATGCAAACCTATGAGTGCTTTGGTGACTTATACCTATTTCCCATATATTATGCTAAATGTTAAAAATATTTTAAAATATATATTTATTTTTCCTAAAATCTGTTTACAAAAATACACAATTTCACCGTCATATTAGAAATGACTATTTTAAAGATACCACTATCTTAAAGATACCACTCCAGATGTGTCTAGGTACTCCCTTCTGTTTAACTCATTGGGCAGTTTGCTCTACAGCATATACAGTGTGCCTCAGGACACTGAGTGATATGACAAGTTACAAAATAATTCCATATCTCATAGCAGAAAAACAAAATGAGCCAAAGGCTAAAGCCTAAAGACAAAAAACCTAATATAAACGAACATGGATAGAATCTACTATAGCTACTTATAATATTTCCTACCTGGTTCATATTTGCAGATATAATTGTGCTTCATATTGCACCTGTCGTCATTCCACTGGTAAAGGTAGGGACCCCCAAGGCCAGGATTGGCAGTTGGTTGATGATACATCACAACACACTTTTCACTTCCACAGGAAGGCTCATCGGTATACCAATTTCTGCAAATATACAGGAATAGAAACAACTTAGATACACGCCTTCTAACTGACTTTGCCTGTTCTATTCTAATACCCTTTACATGTAATAGAACCTCCCTTTACCCTTTATAGATTCCCCCAGCCAGCCAGTTGCCATTGAGTCAATTCCGACTCATGGGGACCCCATGTGTGTCAGAGTAGAATTGTGCTCCATAGAGTTTTCAGTGGCTGATTTTTCAGAAGTACATTACCAGGGCTTTCTTACAAGGCACTTCTGGGTGGACTGGAACCACCAACCTTTCAGTTAGCAGCTGAGTGCATTAACCGTTTGCACCACCAAGGGACTCCAGAGTCCCCCAGAGACCATTCAACTTCTTAGGATCCAGACTCACCGATATTGGGAATGGCTTTTATCAGACCACTGGTAGAGATCTGGGCAAGCACCAGATGTTTGTCCATCTCCGTTTCTCCAGAGTCCTATCCAGAAATCACCATCAGAAATTCCTGTTCCTGGTTTTGTGAGGTTTTGCAACATGCTTTCTATTAACTTCTGTTCTGCTTCATTCTCGAGGCTGAGAAGGGCTCCCCCCTCGCTCTCACAAGCTAGGCGTGCTTCCTGGAAGCTCACTCGGCTGGACAGCTCATGGAAGTAGGCCATTTTATAGCAGGGATGCTTTAAATCAGCAAAACATACCTTTTGCCCTGAAAAGAAGATGCCGACAAATAGGTTATCTGAACTATATTCATAGTGTTACTAAGAATTAAGATTAAAGAATCAATTAAAACAGGAAATTGTCTATCAAGAATGCTTCTCCCATTGAATTATGTTGTAAAATTTATTTTCTAGCTTACTACTTTTAATTTATAAAATCAAAATGGTTCCCTAGCAAACCTGTAACATAAACTTTTAAATATAGGACTACAAGTAAATTTTTTACTAAGGACAGTCGTAATTCTTCTGGCTTCGATTTTTAGAAACTGATTACCATAGCAAGTGAAAGGCGCTAAAGAAATTTCAGGTGTATTCATAGTTAAGTGAGCTAAAACAACAAAGTTATGAAAGAATAATAATAATAATTCATAAAATAATTTTATCATTAAACACAAGTAAAGTAAAAAAGAATAATTCTACATAAAGTGTTATGAAGAAGATACAAAGTGACAAATTTAAGGTATAAAGAGCTGTTTTTATTGTGTATATCTTAGAGCAAATACATTAAAATTCATAGCTAATACAGGCCAGAACAAAGGTAATTAAGGTAAAAAAAATTAATTAATATGATATTATATTAGAAAGGTCAAGGCAGACTTCTAGAGTACTCATTATCTTTTTAAAAAGATCCCATTACCAGTTCTCTGAATATTTTCTAATTTTATAGGATATTGTGTGTGAACTTCAGTCTCTAAGCTGATGTCTTCTCTCTTTTCACACAGACATCTCAGATAAATCCAATAAAAATTCCCAAATTTAAAACAGAAAACCATCAAGTAGATACATGAGACTAAATGCGCAGCTCCTGTCCAGAGGCAAGCTGAGAAGGCAGAGAAGTTCAGGAGCTGGTTGAATGGACGTGGGAAATCCAGGGTAGAAAGGAGGAGTGTGCTGTCACAGTATAGGGAGAGAAATAAGGCTCACATAACAATGTATGTATAAATTTTTTTATGGGAGACTAATTGTAAACTTTCACTTAAACATAACAATAAAATAAAATAGAAAACCAAGTACATAATCCAAAAAAAAAAAAAAGAATGCATTTTAAATATGAAAAAAAATCTTGCTCCGATGCTTAGACAACAGGTGGGTCATTTGGGGTCTTAATAAAGCCATATATATATATATATATATAATTACATTCATAATATTACATATATGTATATTGCAGTGTATAGAATTCAGCTAAGTCTACCAGCAATGGAATTCCTATTTCTCTATTGTTTACATCCTCTCCCTTTAACCACCAATCATGCATGTGAGATTATAGAGACAATTTCCAGAATGGTCATGCTGTTTTGTTTTGTTTTTCATTAGTTTCTTCTTTGTATTCTGCTGTCAACTTTTAAAAATGACCACAGATCCCACCTCTGTCACTATTCCTTATCCTCACCCTGCTGTCCACAGCCTCCACTACTTTCTTAGTCTCTCCCTGATTTTAGTCTAAATTCGCCCTTGGACAACAGACTATCAAGTATAGTATATAAAATTCAGTCCACTTACTTTAGGTTAAGAAATGAAGGCCTTAATGCTCTCCTAAAATTCATCTGCATGAATATGATTGTCGGGTGTGAAGGCCTTTTTCACTGTTTAATTTTGTAGACAATCTAGAACGTCATCGGTAGTATGAGGTGTTACTGTACTTAAACCCTGGCTAGAAAAAATAAAGCATTCAGGTTTTGTACCCTTAATTATTGTATATCACACTGTGAGCCAGCATTGGTATCACATCCATTCCACACCAGAATCAACAATTAGTGACCTACAATGACACTCAGAGGCAGGAGGGGACAGAAACCAGTGGAAAGCCATTAACCTCACACCAGTATTTGAGTGATAGACATTCAATATCTTGACACAAGCTGAGAAGAGCCAGCTAATAAAATAGCAGTCCCCGCAAGGCAAGCCAGCCAGCCAGTTAACCTCTCTGCCTCATCAACAGCGGTCTGGACCCAGGAGGAAGACATTGAACAACATGAATGAAGCAACAGACTACCCAAACTAATTCTTAATGAAAAATAGCATGTTAATATGAATCATACATCCAAGAATTGATCACAGGAAATTGGAGTTAAAGAGAAAGACACATCAGCCAAAAATAAATCTTATAGAGATGACCATGGAGGTCCCAATGGTTGACTCTAATACAAATTTTATATAGATAGATAGATAGATAGATAGATAAGATTTCTAATGTATTCTTAGGTTTTGTGATAATTTCATTGTTTAAAATGATTGTTCCTGGTAATAATCTAACAATGCCATTAAGCCTGGTGATTTTTATGCCTCTATTTTTAAAGCAAACTCTGTTTCCATTTTCATCTTCTATATCCTTTTGTTTTTTCTAAATCTCCAAATATATCCTAACTATGTTCCTTTGAAGGAGCCCTGGTGGCACAGTGGATAAGTGCTTGGCTGCTAACCAAAAGGTCAGCGGTTCGAATCTACCAGCTACGCTGTGGGAAAAAGACGTGGCAGTCTGCTTCCGTAAAGATTACAGCCTTGGAAACCCTACGGGGCAGTTCCACTCTCTCCTATAGGGTCGCTATGAGTCGGCATTGACTCGATGGCAATGAGTTTGGGGTTTTTGGTGGTATGTTCCCTTGAGTTTTAAACTTGTTCAATATTTCACCCCAAGAACTTTCAGCCTTGAATTAGATTAAAACACTTTGAAAATGTTAAACTTGTCCCACAAGGTTGTTTTGCAAGATGTCAAATTACCAAAAAAAAAAAGAAAGAAAGCAGACTAGCTAGAAGTTTTAATGAGTAAAGATTATTTATATGGAACAAAGCCAGCACACATCCAGAGGATGCCTGGATGTGATTTATATGCTAAAAAATCATTGAACGTTGTCTTTAATACATTACATAAATCTTTCTATATATCATTTGTTGTTGTTGTTAGGTGCCGTCGAGTTAGTTCTGACTCATAGTGACACTATGTACAACCGAATGAAACACCGCCCGGTCCTGCGCCATCCTCACAAATCATCGCTATATTTGAGCCCATTGTTGCAGCCACTATGTCAATCCATCTCGACTAGGGTCTTCCTCTTTTTCACGGAACCCCTGCTTTAACAAGCATGATGTCCTTCTCCAGGGACTGGTCCCTCCTGATAATATGTCCAAAGTATGTGAGATGAAGTCTCACCATCCTCACTTCTAAGGAGCATTCTGGCTGTCCTCTTCCAAGACAGATTTGTTTGTTTTTCTGGCAGTCTACGGTATATTCAATATTCTTCATCAATAGATATTATATATATATTATATTATATATATATTAAAAACAGGTGCAACACAGATTTATATACAGTGAGGATACACACTGGTGATGAGAAATTAACTCACTCATAAAATTAAGATAGCACTTCTAAATAAATGCATAAGAGAGTTGTGTCATGTTGAAATTTCTAAGAACATTATGCTAGTCTGTAGAGAATAATTATAGAAGAAAACTCTACAGGCAGGGATTATATTTAAAATAATTAACTAGTACTACATAGAGCCTGGACTTGTGTAGTACCTCAGGCTTGGCACCCTCTGTGCCAGGTATTATCCCTTTGGTTGTAGATGCATGGTCCAGAGGTTCTGAGTGAGGGGTTGGAAATTGTGGAGGACTCCTAGGGGTTCAGGACAGAAGCTATTTACCAACTGGGTACAGATGTGCATTAATTCCTAACAAAGCTAAACCAATGTATACTGGTTGAACATCAGCCATGGCTACAGATTTTGAATTATAAAGTTCCTTGTTGTTAGTTGTCAAGTCAATTCTGACTGATGGTAACCCCTCGTACGTAGAGTAGAACTGCTCCATAAGGCTGTCAAGGATGTGACCTCTCAGAAGCAGATTTCCAGGCCTGTCTTCTGAGGCACCTCTGGGTGGGTTTGAACTACCAGCTTTTTGGCTAGTAGTTTGGTGCTTAATCATTTGCGTCACTGAGGGAGCCTACAAAGTTACTAGCTAGTCTATCTGACATGGCAGTTTTCAGGAAATTATAGATGCACTGCAAAATTATTCACGGTTTATACGTAATCAGTTAAAGCTGACAAAGTGAATTTCTTTACATCCAATTCTATGTTACTACTGATTTCCACCTTTGTGTAAATTTGATCCAAGTTACAACAAAATCAGCAGAAAAAGCAGCTCTTGAACCTCTTGCCACCATTTGGCTGAAATAACAGTGAAACTCCAACAGCTGGGAAACAAATGTTGCCCTAATTCCCAGAAAAGTTGTGTGAATATAGATCTTCTCGAAGAAACTCTCCCACTTCTGTAAAGGCTAATCTTCCTAGAGAACAATTATGGCTATTTCACTTCCCACTCTGTGGGATCATGTGAGAGATTCCCCTTCCCCTTACTTTAAAATCTTATATTCAGATCAATTCTTCCACAGACTATTTTATGGGATAGGTAAGAATTCTATCGAAGAACAATATAGTAAATGTAACCCACTAAGGTTACTTTTTTATCATACAATAATTTACTTATTACTGTAAGACATTTATGTCACCTAGCATCTCTGATAAACACTCTTTGATTGTTGGTTTATTTATGAAAGAGACAAGTCCCATCCAGAAGTCTACAAACAGTGAGGAGCTCCTAGAGCATATTGGGAAAAATGATAAAGTCAGAGATAATGTCTTTGCACCTATTTTGTTAACACGTCCTCAGCTAAGTGATTCTCAAATCTAAAAAGTATTTTGTTATGCTCTTTCTGCACCGAAGTTTACGAGCCACAAAAAGACATATTCACCATTAGTGTTTTTGTCACACTCACACACGTGCATATACACACTCATCTACAAACACACCCATGCACTTTTATTTGGAGATAATTCACAGTGTTCCCTACTAAAATAAGCATTCCTATCATTGTCACAGTTAAGATTCTGCTACCGTTTCCATGAATAGATTATTCTGTCTTTTTTTCTTAGTCACGAAAAATTTTTTAGAGCTAAATATTGGCAGCATTTAAAAAATTTTGGGCCA